AGCACGTTACTTCTTTTCCATGGAAAAAACACGAATCCTTGTCTGAAAACGGATCTCAGAGCCACATTTCAGATCTGAGCTTCCATCAAACCCACTTCCCGAGTCCTCACACTCAGAGTTCATGTGGACAGACACCAGCTGATCCAATACGCCCAGGCGCCTACTGTGCGCTCAACACCCACACTGGAGGAAACAAGAAATCACAAAGTCACTGCCCTTGAGGAATGTGCAAAACGGCTGGAGAGCAACTCAGGAACCTGAGAATGAAAGAAACTCGAATTATAAGTCAAAGTCCTTAACACTGACTTCACTGTTACCAGAATCAGAGGAAAGGGAGAGAAACATGAGCAGCATCTTAGGGGCGGCAGGGAAGTGCGGTGGGTCAATAAGATGAAGCCTCGCAGAGACAGATGGGGAGAGGCAAGGAAGGAAGGATCACAAGGGAGGGGCCAGGAAAAGACAGGGAGAGTGCCAAAACCGGAAAGCACAGAACAGATTTAAAAGTTCATGTTGGGAAGTTTGAATAATTTATGAAATAAGGTTAAACAGAGAGGGTAGGACATAAAGGGCCTTGAAGAAAAAGCAAAAGAGTTGAGAACGGATACGACAGACAATAAGAGACCACATAAACAGGCCTGACAACTGGAAACAGTAGAATGCAAGATGACAAAGGGATAAAAGATGTAAGTAAGAAAATAACAAGTAAACTCTGGTCTCTCCCTCCAAAGAGATGAGGACTCAGGCTGGAAGGATGGCCGTGCCTGGGAGAGAAAAGGACAGAAATGTGACTTGAGGGCACCCTCTAAAGGCTGTGTCTGCGAGGGATACAGATTTTGAAGGGGGATCTGGGAGAACAGAGGTGCTATCAGGAGAACAGGGAAACTGAGAGGATGGTGTGACCACACTTGTTGTGATAACGGAAAGCCCAAGTAGAAAGGGGGCTGCATAAGGCCATGACCTGTGGGGCCTCTCCTACCACGTGTTCCAACTAGTTGAAGTGACAGCTGTCCTGGAGCCAAAAGGATGAGAGGCAAGCCTCGCCCCACTTATGACTCTTATTGCAGACACCTACCTGTCCCAGAAGATGGACTCTTGTCTCAGACCATGCCCAGTCAGAGCGCCCTAACCATGCTCCTCCATGCTGCCGCCATGCTACGCTTCTAATGATTCTCTATAGCCTTATTTTTCCTTTGTATCATTTATTAAGGGCCATTAACTCAGGAGGGGGAAAACTGTACTTGATAAGGTTTAAGTTTTTTGTTTTTTGGGGGTTTTTTCCTGAGGCAGATTCACCCTGAGCTAACATCTGTTGCCAATCCTCTTCCTTTTTTTTTTCCGCTTGAGGAAGATTAGCCCTGAGCTAACATCTGTGCCAGTCTTCCTCTACTTTGTTATACGTGGGACACCTCCACAGCGTGGTTGACGAGTGGACTAGGCCTGCGCCCGGGATTCGAACCCATGAACCCAGGCTGCCAAAACAGAGCATGTGAAACTTAAACCATTTGCCTTGGCCACAGGGCAGGCCCAATAAGGTTTAAGTTTTGAAATTTGTGTTTTACTTTAGAAACTTCAAAATGCAACACTCTAACCCAAGTATCTCAGAATCCTACCTCCCATTCTAAGCTCCTTCTCTGTTGGATCACATCACCATGCCTGTGTGAGACCACCAATCCTTGAAGGCACAGCAGACTGCAGCGTCCTTCACTGATTAAATTCTCCTCCCCACAGGTCAGGCAGGGTAGCCCCAGGGGATGTTTCTGGCTGAGACTGGAAAAATTAAGACATCTTCATGGACAAGCACCCTGATAAAACATTCCAGGATACACACTACGGGGCAGGGGCGGGGGCGGCATGGAATGACAGAAAGAGCACGCAACTCAAGAATCGGATCTCTCCCGCTAAGTGTGCAAGCTTTAACTTCTCTCAGTCTCAGACTCCTCGCTCTCAAAGGCGGGCTGAGCTACGTGATTTCTCAACTCACTAAGCTCTAACATGGCTTCTGGGCTAATCTCTAACACAAAAAACCCTAAAGTACCACAAACGCTTGTTGAAAAATCTCCACTTCCATTTTGCCTGTCATTTTTTAATTCAAATGAGTTAATAAGAAATTACATGATTTCTTAATGCTACAGTATACTAACCCAAATCAAATGATAAACTTTTATTAAATCAATCAAAATGCAATTAACATATTTGATACCCACCACGCACCTATTTACATGAGGCACTGCCTATCTAAACAATTTTCTGGCAATACTAAATTACAATAAAACTCTTGCTTAAAACAAGGGCATTTTCTCCAAGTCTTTCTTCTCACAGGACCCCTGTAAATTAGGACTTGGATCCACCTATCAATTCCACAGGCTGATCATCTGCCAAACACTCTTCTGTCATTGTCACGCGCTGTGATTACAGAGCACAATCACTTCTTGAGATTCTCACCAATATTTCAGCTGAATCTATAGTTCTGTCCTTGCTTTAACCGTCTCTCTCCTCACTCCAAATGAACTGAAAAGAACATTTTCAAAGTGACTCCATTAGACTACTGTTTTCCTTTGATGAGAAAAAAATCAAGCAAGGTAAATACTGAAGATTCTATGTCATACAAGTACAGTCAGAAAAGTAGCAAATGACACCACACAAAAATCTCTAAAGACTTAACAAATATTCTCATTTCTTTTTAATTCTAGAAGGAAAATGGTAACATATTTCATTTTCAGATTAAAAAATATTTTCTAACAATTCAAAAAAAATTACTGCCTCAAAACAAAAGCAATTTAAAAATGAGTTAATTTTAGAAGATTGGGCGGTGATTCAGAATTTGAATTTCAAATTCTTCTGTAAATCCATGCATAAAATTCGGGCAGGGTAAACTCTACCATTTCGAAAACAGTAAAGTAAGGCAAATAAGGAAGTTGAACACTAGACAATCAAAATACCTCTTCATCAAATCTCATGTTTGCACAAGAGACAACCTTTGTCTCAAATGATCAGGGCTGCATCAAGCTTTTAAAATCACACCTAAGGTTTTGGACAACGTCCTGCACGGTCACGGTGCCTGTCCCCCCCCAGCGGGGCAGTTCTCTGCCTCACACATGGTGCCCTTACGCCCCCACTGCTCCCCACACCTCTCCCCCAACTCCACTAGCCCCGGCCAACTGAACAAAGGTTAGGTGACCAACCCGCGGCAGATAATCCCCAGGCTGGCCGGGAACCTGGATCCTAGATCCAGGGGAAAGACGACCAGACCAAGTCTCTCTCTAGAATCTGAACCAGGAAATATGACAAGAATTGGTCACTTAGAAACTGAAAGAATGCAACAAGAAATGCCACAAAGTTGAACTCGGGCCAGAGGGGTTTTGAACCAGCTAAAAAAGCACGTGAGCTAAAGCCACAGGGGAGGGAAAACCAGGAGTGAGCAAAGCAGCCAGTCGGTGGGGGGAGAGAGGCTCCAGCATATGGAGCTCAGCCGAGTCCCACGGGGTGAAGTTCCAGGGACAACTGCTGCCGAGGCCCCAGAGCTGCCAGGAACCACCCTCCAACGCCAGGTTCTTGGAGCTCAGCCCGTCCCAGCTCGCATTCCTGGATTTCTGTGCGATTCCTATCACACTGCATGTGCTGCCACCAACAATACTCCTTCTCAAGCTCGCTGGAGCAGGTCTTTGCTCCAGACAACCAAAAGCTAGACCAGCACACACGCAAACAGGAAACAAGCCTTCCTGATCACCCAGTAACACAAAATACTGAACAGTCCTAGTATTTAACAGAAACACAGAAAAAACATTCCCCCTTACCCCCCGCAAAAAAACCTCAAACCTCACATCTGACGGAGAAGGGGCACAGGGAACTTTCTGAGATAATGGACGGAAGGGTTCTGCATCTTGTCAGAGGTGGAGGTCACTCTTCTGTCAAACCTCATCAAACTGTACACCTAACACGTGACCACGTCACCGCAAGTAAATTATACCTCAATTAAAAAAAAGCAAACTCCTTAAATATAATTGTTCCCCTGAGAGGACTGGCGTTTTCGCTTTGTTTTTCAAAACTATATTGATCTGGATAAATCTCACAAACGATGCTGAGCAGAAGAAGCCAGATGCTAAACCCCTGAGTTGCTATTTACATAGAGAAGAGAAGCAGACAACACCCACCGAGGCGTTAGAAGTCAGGCAGCGGCTAATTCGAGGGGCAGGGAGGAGGAGGCGAAAAAGGCCGGGCGGACTTCCTACTGGGCTGGTGTGTTTTGGTTTCTGATCTTGGTTCAGCTGGACATTTGGATCAGGGTGTATGTTCACGACAGAAGAATTTCCCTGTATGTATATTACATTATACCCTAATAGTAACATAAAAGAGAAGGGAAGGAATACCTTACGGTAATCTAAAAGTGATTGGAAAAAGGTTTGTTTTGTTTTCCATCTAGCGAAATGCTTCTTTTCAGCCAAACTCTTCAAGTAAATAACAAAGAAAATGAAGACTTTGGTTAACCCATTCACGGAATTCTAATATGACTCAGGACTTTGATATTAGGGGCAAAAGCTCATTCAGCAGAGTTGTTAGAATCACGTAAATCTCCACCATACAGTGCTCAGTTCTACACCAAGTGAGTCACCAGCAACCAGCACACGCTTCCACATGAGCAGCAGAGGGACGGACCCGCTCCCCACAGCCCTCTCCTCCTTTAACAGACAAAAGAAGAGCAAAATCCAGAGGAAGACGTACTTAGTCAGAAGCCCACTTCTGTGCTTTTCAAAGGGAGAATTAACTCATCCGTTACCCCGAGGTACACTTTTAAAAAACAAATATGTGGATTTTGATTTCAGAGACTTACAGTTTAAAAACATTTTACAAACTCTAGATACAGTTCATAAGCATAAAACGGAAAAAGCAAAAGTGGAGCAGTGGAGACAAATAAGAAAATAAACATTAGTGTACAGATCATCAAATCTGAATACTGAAAAAACTAAGACGCCAAAGAGTAAATTAAAATCTAAAGTACTCACAGCCATAATCAATTCAAAGGGGTGCTTATACACCCTCACTGGCGACTGGTACTTTTGCACCATGATTGTAACACAATAGCAATTCTCTCACACCTGCAAAACACAAACACGTGATAAACCACCATGACGTGGAAAACATTACGTCTGCATTTACACATCCTACTACAGTCTAAGGGCAGAAAGGGACCTCATAAGGTCATAATTCTATGCACACAAAAATCCAGAGACAATGCTTAATTATACAAGGGCAGGGGAAAGTAATAGGAGAGTGGAACGAGGAGACAGCACCAGTCCACCCGCCTCTCTGCCTCACTGGGCCTCCCCAGGGGCCGCCCTGGGTTAGACGACCTGAGTCCTTTCCAGCAGTGAAATGTTAGGATTCGATTATTCTGATAACCCACACAATCAGTTCTTGAATCATTTTCACTTCAACAACTTCTACAGGCAGCCAAATAAAAACGGTGGCACTTTAAGATATGAAGTCCAAGGGCACACAAAAATAAAAGTGGAAAGAAATATTATTATACCTCAAATTACGGAATATTCCTCAAAAGCTAGCTTCAAGGGAAACCTGTCAATCACTGTGTTTATGTAGATTATGATTTCCGAGACCTGTCTTCAAATGGCAGAGAGGCCACGCACTCCGGCCAGAGGCCCCACTGAAACCTCCTGCTCTCAACACTGTAATAGCTGTAAGCGATCAATTAAACGCCCGAGCCTACTTCACAGGCCAAGGAGTGCTCCTGCATGCGAGGTTCACATCCACACGGCAGGCCCAGCCTAAGGAGATTTTTCTGAAAACACTTTTATTTGGAGTCCTCTCTGTGACTTCACTTCCCTATTTAAAAGTGAGGAAGAAAAATAAACCCAAAGAGCCCACCTGTGCTGCCGAGGATGCTCATGAAGAACGTTAGTTTAGGCTGAATACTGTGAGAGGATATTCAAAAGTACAAAATGGAACAGCCTCAAGGACCCCAAGGTCTAGCTGTAAAAAAAAAGAAAAAAATTATGAAGATATATTTTATTTCAGAAGATTCCCACCTAAACTATTACATTTAAACAGGACTGGAACTTTCTCTGTCACGTTTGTTTAGCACACATCTCAGAAAGGACACCTTATGGCGCAAAACAGCTACAAAATAACTCTGGGTGACCTCACACAAGTCCTTTGACTTGGCTCGGATTTCGTTTCACCCCTGTAAAACGAGGTTTGGGGTGAGATAACCCTGAAGACTTCCAGCTTTCAAACAGGAGACTCAGAACCAAACTGCGAGTTCTCCAGCACACTCAGCTGGGAGCGGTCATTCATCTTGATCCCGACACTGGCAGGTCCTGGAGCGCTGGGACCGCGTTCTATTTAGTTTCGCAAACGCGACAATGCTGGTGCACAGTGGGAATTCAATAACCTTTTAAAAACCTAATTGGGAAAATTAATTTTAGGGTATCTCCCAAGAGGAGGGGAGGGCGATTACCAGGTATAAAAAGGGGTAGGGGAGGGTGCAAAAAGCGGAATGCTGGGTGAGGACGCCTAACATCCATTCAGGATTCCACCGCCCGGCAGAACCCGCGGGGACTACGCTGGAGAACCTGCCAATTCACAAGCTTCTGAACCCCTGCCAGTTCCCAGCTTCGGATGCTCCGGTCCAGGGAAGCGTCCTAGTGGGAATCCGGAGTTACAGCGGCCAAGGGGCGTCCGAGCCCGGGGCAGCCTCTATTGCATGACAATCGGGGCTGCAAAATTACTCAATGGCCAGAAGCAGGGAGTCCATCTCCAGCGGGCTCGAGGGCCGGCCGGGCTCGAGGGTCGGTCAGGGGGTCCAGCGCGGCGGCTCTGGTGGGCCTCCGGCCCAGGGCGACCCCAGGAACAGGCTCGGCCCCCAAACTCTGCCTACCGCAAGGGGGGGTGGGTCCCGGAGTGGGAAGACTGGCGGGGGGGGCCAGCACAGTGGGAGCGGCGATGCGGGCGGTGGACCCGGGCCGGAGGCGGGCCCGCTCCGGCCGGACCGCCCGAGGGGGCCGGGGGACCGAGGGGCCGGGGCAGGGCGGGCCGGGCGCGGGGCGGCCGCGGAGCCCCGCGCCGCCGGGAGGGGCCGGGCCGGGGACGCCCGGAGCCCGCCGCCGCGACGCGCGCCTACCTCTTGTCAGAAGGGCCGAGCCCGGGCAGCGGGGCGGCGGGGGGCGCTCATGCCGGCGGCTCCTCGGGGCCGTCGCCCTCCACTGCCGGCGGCTGCAACGCCGCCGCCGGTTCCGGGGAGTGGGCCGAGGGGCGGGAGCGCGCGGGCGCGGCGAGCTCGAGTGGTTGTCACGGGTGACGAGGAGGGCGGGGCCGGCGGCCGGAAGCGGCGCGCGTGCGCGAACGCGGCCGAGTGGGCGGAGGCGGGCGCGACGACGGTTGCTAGGGAGGGGGGAGGGGGAACAACCGTGGCCGGGACGAGCTGCGCAGGCGCCAACTCCGGGCCGCCGGGCATGGGAGGAGCTCGGAGCCGGCGTCGGCCCGGACGCACTGCTTGTCTCTCGCGCGGCGCCTGGCCACGCCCAGTTTGCGTCATGGGGCGGGGTCAGGGTGAGGGGCGGGCTCACAAGCGGCGGGGCGGAAGCGGGGTGAGACGCAAATGGGGCTGCGAGGCGGAGGCGGAGCCGGAGCCCGAGGACTTCTGCTGAATTGGAATTGGGAAGAGCGCGAGGTGTCAAAATTACCGGGGCATTCCGGCTTTGCTGCTGACCGGGGCCGAGGGCTTGGCCGCCTGCTCCGAGGCCCTGTTCCCCTGCGTTTCCTCATTTTCTGTTGACTGCTCGAAAGCACCAGGCTTCCCCCGTATAGTGCTCTGACCGCATTCTCGCCGAGTAATGCAGATGAGGCAAACGCCAGGGCTGGGAGGGGCTGGGTGGAACCCAGCAGCGTCTTGTCAACATATCTAGGCTGTGCGATGGGTCTAGATTAGAGCCAGGGTCTGCCCCTGGGGAAGATGAGGCTGCATTTCAGCAAGAGAGCCACAGCTCCAGCTCCAACTTTGAAAAACAAGTGTGATACACACTGAGACATTTAGGGGTCCTTAAGAGGCCCTAATGACTAGAGAGGGACACTACTCATGTCCACCCACTCAGCCACACTGGTTTTATAACCAACATACAATTTCTCCATCAATGGCACTGTTGTTCCGTTCTCATTAGTCACCCTGGGTGGCTGTACGTTTGATGCTGTTACTGCACAGAACATTTTTGGAACAGTTTTGGAATTTCCTTCAGGGTCAGTTTACCAGTCACACAAGAAAATCATTCATTACTGGATCACACCTTTTTTGCAAGTCAAACCATCATTTTCAAACTCGATCACCCACACACTGCTCACTAGACTCAGCTCAAACTGGCTTTTGCCTGTTTGTAAAAATCATATCCACCTTCAAAAGATGCTTTGAGAAGGAGACAACCCAGTAAACAGCAGCATTTGACCTGCTGCACAAATTGACCTGATCTGATAAGCTGCTAAATATAACTACCAACTTACAGGAAATAGACAACAGGGAACATGCTAAATGATACCATTGGGAAACAATTGGCCAACTACAGATGTGGGAAGTATGTGACAAACACATTCCTTATCAAATTTCAAAGGAAAAAAGAGGGAAAGGGCCAATCCATAGATTAAAAGAGATTGAGAAATTCATTGAGCCATACACTTATGATTCCTGTACTTATTTCTGTATATATTATAGTTCAATTAAAAATTTTAAAGAAGGGGCCGGCCCCATGGCCGAGTGGTTAAGTTCGTGCACTCAGCTTTGGCGGCCCAGGGTTTCGCTGGTTTGGATCCTGGGCGCAGACATGGCACCGCTCATCAGGCCATGCTGAGGTGGCGTCCCACGTGCCACAACTAGGAGGACCTGCAACTAAAAAATATATATATACAACTATATACTGGGGGGATTTCGGGAGAAAAAGCAGAAAAAAAATTTTAAAGAAAAAGCAGAGACTTGAGACATGAACCAATTGCACCATATGAATTTATTTTCATCTTGATTTTTACAAATAAATTTTTATGAAACAGGGAAGTTTAAACATTGAACATATGATATTAAGAAATTATTATGAATTTTTAGGTGGGATAATGGTATTATGGTTAACGTTTTTTAAGGAGGCCATATCTTTTAGGAACACATGCTTAAATCCTTTTGGGTCAAATGGTGTGATGTCTGGGATTAGCTTCAAAATAATCCAGGTGAAAAAAGGTAGGCGTAAGGGCCTAAATGAAAAAAGATTGGTCCTAAGTTGACAATTGTTCATAATATTATTCTACTTTTGTATATGTTTGAAATTATCCATAATAAAATGTTTTTCACAAAAAAGATGGTTTGTCACCACTGAGGATAGCAAATCAAGACATAATTACAAAAGAGGTATTTGAAAATGTCTCAAGCAATAGCAGTATCCTTAAGATACATGAACAGATTCCCCAGGTGAATACTTTGAAGGAAACAACACTCGTTTAGATGTATCGGTCATGATCTGTTTGATTGTTTTGAAATCAGTTTTTTGGGGTAGGTGTCCAGAAACTATAAGAAACTCTACTGAGCAGCTTACTGCAGAGTTCAATAAAAAGATCCAGTCCCTGACCTTTTAACACATGTGCAAGGGGGCTCTTATTATGTGTCAGACACTGTGTGAGGTGTGAAGATGAGTACGGCGTGGAGGGGGAGGCGGAGAAGTGTGGCGGGATCAGGTGTGGCTGCCAGTGACCAGAACTTCAAAATAAAAATGCCTTGACAAGATAGCAGTTTATGTCCCTCTCATGAGAATAGAGTCCAGGGCTGGAACGGCACCTCCATGATCACTGTCAACTGCTGACTCCCCAAATACCACCAGAACAGCCTGCCAACGAACCAAAGCTAAGGTGATGAAGCCAACTGCAGGAGGGGAGAGCGTGGCCTTGACCAGAGGCAGTCCGGAGACTCTCTTGGTGTGTCATAAGGGGCAGGGCCAGGTGGGTATTTCAGGGTTGCGGGGGTCTCAGCTCAAGGGTCCAAGGCAGGCCTCTCACGGCTGGGATCTAAGAAGCACCGGGCCAAGTCTATGATGTAGTAGTTTAGGCCTGGTGGACACAAGGCTTGAAGCTTCAAATCTTGATGAGTGAACGGTTGTTTGATAAACCAGCTGTTTGCCCCAGTGAGCCATCTCTCATCCTGAGAAGGATCTTTTGTTAGAAGAAATTCTTTTTCATGAATTTCCTGAAGCAAACAGTGAGGCTGTTTATTGGTTTACAGTCGTATCTTCCTGAACAAGAATTTCCTAGACAAATAGTAAGTCCTGTTGACACAGGAGGTCTTAGATCTCAGTCTTGCTGGTTAAGCTGCATGGATGCGGGTGGTCTCACTTCTCATCGTCAGGGACACAAGTTCCTCCCGCCTTGCTTCTCTGCCCTTGTCACACTGTATCCTCCACCTCAGCCAGCAGTAGGAGGAAAAGGCCAAGAGGATCCAATGCCCTTCCTTGACCCACACTTCCCTGGGGGCTGAGTTTGTGCATTCAGTGGTGTGTGTGTGACAAGCAGAGCAAAGGCTGGGGCTGGGGGAACGGCAGTGCTCCCGCGGAGACAACGCTGCTGCCCTTGTGTTCAACAGCAGAGCCTTTCTCTTCCTCAGACAGACTCTCTCTAAAGTCTCATCATGAGAGTATTCTGAAACACCTTAGCCCCTAGCTTCACAAGCATTTCTATTAGTAAGCTCCTCAGCTGCCATTGCCTCTCGTTTGATGGATGGAAGCCTTGACGGGTGCTGCGTAAAGGCCACTTATCAGGCACCCTTGAGATAGAGAGCAAGGATTCCCAAGTCTTGGCTTCCACAGCAAGACACTCTGGTTCCTCAGAGCTGCTCAGCTGAGTGCCCACTGGGAACCTGAGTCTGAAGCTGCTGTCCTACGTGGCCGCCTCTGTCTGATGTCAGGATGTGATATCAACAGCCTGCTCACACCTGCCTGGGTGCTGACACTGGGGCCTGTTACATCTTCCTCAACAGGATTAACCTGAGCTGGAGATACTGTTACTGATGCCTCCAGACACCTCTTCTCCATTGCTCTTAGTGTGGTATTAGGAGTCATCCCACGGAAAGCATGAGAAGTTGGTGACACCAAGAGGATTGGGGGTGTGGATTAAAGGGGAGAGTCATTGCAGGAAAGACAGTGGGAGGCAAGTGACAGTCTTACTAAAATTTCAGCCTGCAGGGCCCAACCTTTCCCCCATGATAGCAGAAGAAACAGGAGATGAGTCTGAAGGATCCCTTTGAACATTACTAAGAGTCAGCGTCAACCGAGTGTCTGGGCTGTGCCCAGAGAGGCCCGGTGGTACTTGCTTCTGATTCTCTGGTGGCCCTACTCACCCTGGCATTTGTGCTTTACACTTGAGTCAGTTATAGGGACGTGTCAGGTCTCTAGAAACTGCTTTCTCATTTGATGGTAAAAGGGTAAAAGACAGCCTTGCCAGGCACGACAGAGTCTCCTGACATGGGCCATCTGGCAAAGTTTCCAGCCTGGAAAGGTACAGAAAATGTAGGTTACCCTACAGGCACAGTTTCCTAATTGAGCCCAGGCAGGCAGCCAGTGACCTTCAGCTGATACCATTGCATCATTCCCAATCTGGGAAAACTTCGGGCCAAGAAGCCAGATCTGCAAAAGTTATCTGGCCTTAAATACATCTAAAATATTTCATTTCAATCTGGAGAGGCGAAGCTCCCCGTATCTTAATTGGTTTCCCTGCCTAAAAGTCTTCCTTCTTCCAGGGCACTCTTCACGCTGCTGGCAGAATTCTCTTCCAAAATCACAAACTCACTCCTTCACTCAAGAACTACACTGAAGACAGAATTCAAGTTTCCAAGCCTGTCACCCGAGGTCCTCTATAAATCTTGTCCCCAGCTTTCCTTTGTCCAAGATGATTTTATTTCTATCTTCACTTTATATGTTCATTTATTCATTCCTTTGTTAATTCAGCAGACATTTATTCAGCCCCTTAATTTATTCAGGCGCCATATTAAGCGTGGGCGTGTAGGAAGAGACATCATGTAAAAGAAGATTTTCCTTCAAGTGAAAATGCAGCCTGTTCAGTCTGTGGCCCTCCCGAAGCCTCTCCTTTCGCCTCTTCTTTTTCTATATGCCTTTGCACTTGGCATCACCATTACAAGACATACTGCCTTAAATGAGAAGGTAGAAGAATCAGGTCTGTCTCTCCCATAGAGTTGTAAGTTGCTTGGGTCCTGGGACCGTAGCCGCTCATTTCTTCTACCTTTCACAGCGTTTGGCACTGTCCAGAACCCTGTTAAACACCGGCTGGGTTGAAGTGATGAACCTTAGATTAGGCCTTTATGCTGAGTGCACTAACCACGTCTCCCCATCCCATGGACTGAGCCGAAGCATCCTTGGGGGGTGATGCTCTCACCCCACTCTGTCTCCTGTGTCACCAAGCTAGGACATCAGACCCAGGGAAGCAGCCTCACTTAGGAGAATTGCTGCAGTGTGCCCTGGGAAGCATAGCACGGACCCGCTGAGGTTTAGGATGACAAAGGATGACCTAAGGCCTTTTAGCTTCCCGCTCGGAGAAATAAAAATAGCCAACCCAATCATACTTCTTTTTGGTTTGTTTGTTTCACAAAATATAGTCCTTGCTTCTCCTACCCTGATGCAGCTGTGTGGCACTTTTGGAGGCCAGATTGGGACTTAGGTTAGCAAGTCAGCAATTTGTCTCCAGGCTGCTCCACTGCCGGTCACACAAGCTGGAGGGGGGGTTGGCCTCATGGAAGTGATGGAGCACTAACAAGGGACAGGCCAAAGGCCACCTAACAAGGGGGTGCTGAGTGAGGGATAAGAAGCAAGGCACCCCAAATCCGATTAGTAAAGCAATTTTCCCAAGGCTGAACATGGAAGAGAAAGTCCTCCACCCTCAGGTCTGCGGGCAGAGACTGGAGGGCACAGGGAAGACACAGACAGGGGTCGCTGGAACCCAGAGCTCCCCCACTTGCTCCTTGACATGGGTGAAAGAGAGGGCCATGTCAGACCCCCAGAATCTGCTGTCACCCCAAATGCTTTTAACCGTGGGAGGAGTGTTTTGGTTCAATTCCTTATTTGGGGTGCATCCTACAATTCTGCCTCTAGAATGTTCTGTGACCTCCCACTGAAGATCACACATCTGCTCATTTCACACCTCACTGAAAATTCTATCTCCCATCCCTTCCCACTCTGGCAGAGCCTGTGTGCCTGACAGAGCCATCTCAGTAGCCCAGAGCAACTTTTAGGATTTTTCTCCTCCACAGGAAAAAAAAAATTTTTTTTTAACTGAATGTTGATGGGATTTGGTGTCAGAAAATGTATATCACAGGGTTGTTAAGCTGAGATAAGAAAATGTTTGTGAAAACACTTTGTAAATGGTTAGGTTCTATGTAATACCTCCCACGGCCAGGCCTCCCACGGCTCTGCCTCCAGAATGTTCTGTAAGCACAGGTTATTATTATCCTGCCTACTCTTCTGGTTGGTTACCAGCATCATCCTCTATTTATTTAGATAAGTCTTTTCGCATCTTAAATTTCCCCCAAACAGAGAAATAGTATGAAGAATATTGATCATAAGACAGGTCCTCACTTGAATGGCTACAAGCACAGGCCCACTGAAAAACCATGGGGGTCTTTCTTGGTAAATCATCTTCTGTAATGAGTAGCGTGAAGGGATCACAGACTTAAAGGGGTCAGGGAACACACGCGGAGATGGTCATCTCGCTTAGTGGGCACAATGGTCTCTGGCACCCTCCAAGTTCAGAAAGCTCACTCAACTCTAAAAGGCTGAAGTGGGAATGAACAACAAACCCTCAAGGGCCCGTGCCTGCCAGCCCTGCCTCCCCTGGTGGCCTCTGTCAGGTGCTGTGCTCTTGCCAAGGCACGACCCACTGCTGCCTCCGGGACATTAGAGGGGCTTCTAGTGCTCCCCAGAAACGTGCACCCACACTGACCCTGAATCAAGGACTGCCGCCCTTCCGCCGTACCCCTGGGACGAGACGCACCTTTGAACTTTGCAAAATGCAGAGAAGAGGCTTTACCACAGAGGCTCAGGAAGCACCCACGGCTGGCGTGTGAGTTTCCTGGGGCTGCTGTAACAAATTGTCACAAATTGGGTGGTTTAAAACAACAGAAATTTCTTCTCTCACAGTTCTGGAGGAAAACCTTCATGTGGGCAGAGCCATGCTCCCTCCCGGGCTCTAGGGGAAGATCGTTCCTACCTCCTCCAGCTTCTGGGGCCCCCAGGCGTCCTTTGTCCTAGGGCTGGCTGCGTCTTCACCCTAGTCTCTGAGTGTCAGAACTCTGTCTCTTTTCTCTCTAAGGACACCAGTCATTGGATTTAGGGCCCTAAATCTGCAATGATCTCCTCTCATGATCCTCAACTTAATTACATCTGCAAAGGCCTTATTTCCAAATAAGGGTGCGTGCACAGCTACCCGGGGTTAGGACTCGCATGCATCTCCTGGCAGGCCCGTTCAACCCTCTACCGTTGGTCAGAACGCGAAGTCCTGTTCGAGGGAAGGGCACGCTCCTGCTCGCTCTCCTCTCCTTGGCACCAACCGTTTCAGCCTGAAGTACAAAAGAAGCTGCCTGAAACCCACAGGGTGGGCCCCTAGGACCCCGAGGGCATGCATCCTTGCCTGACCCCCCCAACCACTGTGGCCTCTAAGGAAAGTGAGGCCAAAGGAAGGACAAGGCAGGCCTATTGTCCACTTCGTAGGCCCTGGGCTCTGAAAGAGCCTGAGAACAAAGACGTTGCTGTCCTTGGCAGCCAAGGGGCGGCCTCTGTGTGGGGGCGGGCTTTGTTCAACGTGTACCTAGAGAAGAGCTTGACTCTCGGGACAAGCTCAGGCTCGCAAAGGGCTTCTCTGGGGACCAGCCTCTTGGCAGCTCCGGGGAGACCTCCAGGAACCCCTGTGATGCTGGCAACCTGAGCTTATTCCACACCCAGCGAAACCAAGGCCAAAAGGACTGGTTGTTTAATCCTTACAGAGAAGTCAGAACTGTGGACCCCAGCGACAGCACGTCTCTCCATGTAACTAAATATGGTGCTCTGATTTAGTTACAGATAATAACAGCTCCTTGTTGCACACCAGTGCATCAGGGCTGGCACTACGCACTCTACATGTGTCATCGCTGATCCTCATAAGAGCCCGTTTTACAGATGGGGGCGCCAAGGTACACACGGCGTTGAGTAACCTGCAGGGCAGAGAATCTGCACCTAACACTGTTTGACTCTAACGCTCATGGTGGTGTTTCCATTGTATTAACTTCTCTCTGCTTAACTCGCAGTTTTTCTGCTTTTTGTTCCTTCTTTCAGTTCATCATTTTCAAGGTTTGTACGTCCAGGTGTCATAGTGAAAAGTTCGTCAGTCATCAGCACACAAGGTACGCGGAATGCCCAGGCGGTGTCCAGCTTGAGAAGGCTGTGCGTCAACACCTGACGGATGTAGGTGCCTGTGCATCCTCAGACATTCTGCTGAGCAGGCAAACGAAGAACATACCTGGAAAAGATATTTCCATATGGCCGCTGTGTAGCAGTTGAATTGGCTTGACTCATAAATTCTTTAAATAGCAAGTGGCAATAACCCAGATGACCTTTTAATGTTCCATTAATTCTTCCATCCGTTCATTGTTCTGAGATTTATAACAATGGAACTCCTGAGTGCCTAGCACATGACATAATGGAAGGAAGAGAACCCCGCAACTTTGAAAGCTGGGGATTAAGTTCAGGTTTTGGAATGCTGAATGAAATGAAAGGTAACCTTAACTTGGTGAAAATAATAGGAAGCGTTTTTTTTTCTTTCTTTCTTTTTCTTTTCTTTTCTTTTTCCTTGAATCCTCTTATTCTTGTGTCGCAGCAGCAAAGACTGCTAGCTCAATTTGGATCTCAATACAAAAGAAAGCTTATTCTCTGATGGAGGACATTGAACGCACTGTCAATTTCTGCATCTCTTGCTCTAAACAGTTAAGCAATGTACAACAAACTGAAAGGCCCCCCTGGTTTCCCCACAGCTGGTTCAAACTTGCTGAAAGGAATGCTGGAACGTCTATGGACTCAGGAACCCCCGAGGTGCCTCCAAGCGGCTTCTCTTACCCCCATCCTCAGATTTGCAATGCTGGGATCCAAGTCACCTTCAAGACCACTTCATTCATCTTGACCAAGCCCTTAAATGTTTGAGAAGTCTGCATCAAATAATGTCTGATGAAAGCTGAACACTCTTCCCAGTGCTACGTCCGTGGTCTGGCTCGTGTGACCCACGTGATAGACACACCTGAGGAAATGCATGTCCTGTGATTGTCGGGTGGCACCGGTTTGGTTCCTGATGTTTCCAGAGATAAAACAATATCCTCAAGGAGAAACAGGACGGGGCTTTTGTTCCCATTTAGGCCATGATTATTTTCTATTAGGAGCTGGACAGTTTCATAAACAGAGGGACTTATCGACACAGCTCCCGCCAAAGCCCTCAACTGTGCTTCTAACCACGACAAGGGGAATTTAAAATTTGTTTAAATCAATGTGATTTGTAAGATTATAAAACAGTATATGCCATAGTAGACTGTCTACACAGCATCTATTTCCCCACATCTTCCTTCCCAAAGCCCCAATTTTGTCCAGGCACCCGCCCTCCTCCACAGGCGAGGGGCTTCAGGGGAGGCTGGCCCCTGTCCCAGCTCCAACAGGTAGACCAGGCGAGTCTGGGGCATCCCTTCTCCCAGGCCTGATGTAGGAGTAGGCATGTAACCCAGTTCTGACCAGTGAGACCCACGGGGAAGTCTGCCAGGGGTTTCTGGAAAGGTTTCCACACCGTGAAGAAGGAGACACCAAAAAAAGAAGGCTGTCATTTCCTTGTCCGGACACTGCTGTGCCCTCTCTGATTCTCGGGACTGCTACAGCTGTGCTGCGCAGACAAGGGGAACCAGCCTTTGATGGGGGGGATGCTGGGGACACAGAGAGGAGAGGTGGAAGAGGCAGAGAGGGTGTTTGTTGACATTGCTGCCCCCACCTTACCTGGGGCCCTCCTCCTTCTGCTAGACGTCCAGTCATGTGAACTTGTCAGTGTCCTCATTGTGCAATCCAGTTTGAGGAAGTGTCTTCTGTTCTTTGTAGCTAAAAGCAACCCGAGAAACATGTTTAAATGCAGAAACGCATGAGGAAGAAAATAAAAATCACCTATAGTTCCATCATCTAATAGGAATCACAATTTATGTGTTGTTGCTTTCCATGTCTCTTAAACCACTGATTTCGTGGTGCTAATTGTGATATATACTTACATCAGTAGTACACTTGCTTTTTTTAAAAAAATTCAAATAGCGCAATTGTTGAACGCAGAAAGTAAAGAGCTCCTGTAATCCTCTCCCCGTGGTGATGGATGCTTTGCAGTTGGTCATCTGTTCTGGGAATTCTCCCCACTCTATCCGTGTTTTCTAATGTATGGGCTGCTCCTGACTGATGAATGCCCATGTGACCTTTTAAGCCCATACATAGGTGAACTGTAGTGTGACTCAGACCAGCTGAACATCTGGGCTCGGAGAGTGGGAAGCCAAGAGGGGTAAAAGGAATGGGGAAAGGATTTTCCACTCCCTTCTGCAAGCAGAGCTGGCCTGGGAAGAGTAACAAAGTGGAGAGATCCTGGGCTCTGAGTGCAAAGGGTCTGGGTTCAAATGCCTGATTCACCGTTGAAGGCTGTGTGGCCTTGGGCAGGTCCCTTAACCATTCTGAGCCTATTTCCCCATCTGTAAAATGGAAATAATAATGCCTAACAGAGTTGTTATAAGGGTTATAGGAAATGCACATGGTACGGCCTCAATAAATAGTAGCCATTATTCAGAATATTTGCCAACTTCTCATATCTTTTTCTAGACTCTTCTATCACATCCTGAACGTCTCCTTTCCCCACCCTCTGCTGTCTTCAATCCACCTATATTAGCCGGGGAATTCTTGGTTGCAGACAACAGGATCCACTTCAGCTAGTTTAAGCCAAAGCGGATTTTTGAAGGCATAGAGAGCTCACAGAATTATCAGGAGGGCCGGAGATGCAGGACCTAGGCTGGCTTCCAGGGACAACCGGCTTCCCAAGTCACACTGAAGAACTGGCTCCCCGAGGGAGCTGCCACCTCACCAGGATTCGGAAGCTGCCAAGTCAGGATGTTACTGCCTTGGCTCCTGTCTCCGGAACCGGGCTCCCTCTGCCACAATCCATGCCAACAAAACGATGCCCTGTTCCCTGTCTCTATCTCCATGTAAGTCAGTTCTGAGTCCAAGTCTCCTGCAGGAGCATGTGATTCGTTGAATCTAAATCACGCATCTGAACCCCAGCAGGTTTCACATTTCTACGTTGGAAAGGGGATACCTGTAATCTGGAAATCTGATTACTATCGGAATAGGGAGGAAAGGTTCCAAACCTTTGGGGCAGCCTCAGATGACGGGCGGGGAGTCACGGGCCTCCGTCCTTGTCCATCAGAGATGGCATTGTGATATGCTCCAGTTAGAGCCCTAGCTGAGCTCGGATGTGAGGGGCAAAGCAAGGTGTTTAAACAATCCATTCCTAGGGGCACGTGTTGAATGGGTCCTTCACATTTCACACTTTTAAGAAGATGCTTAGGATGGGGTTCAGAACCTGCTACCCCAAAATACGGCACCTTGGCGTATTAAATATTTTAAGCTGAAGGAGTTTGAGGAAATGGCAGAAGCAGAAAGTTCACTCTGACTTTTTCCCCTTCTCCCTTGAAACAGGTCACAAAACCCTCACGGGAGAGGTCCCTCCCTATACCCGGAGGAAAGGAGCATCTGGATGTCCACAGAGAAGGGAAGCTGAAGAATCCTAACAAACAGGCCTCGCTCACTGGACCCACCTCACTGCTCCACCTCACGCTCTCTGACTTTTCATATTTTTCCACGACTGTCCACTCTTCGTCAAACCCAGCACAAAAATACTCAGGATTAACTGTTCTTCGGGTCTTCATTTCCTCCTGAAGGCTCTCATGTCACGTAAAACTTATATTAAGTAAATTTGTGTGTTTTCTCCTGTTCATCTCTCTTTGTCAATTTAATTTTCATACCCAGCCGGGGCCCCTAAGAAGGTTGAGGAAAACTTTTTCCTTCCCTACGCTTGTCAACTCGCATCTCCAGTTGATGAAATCTCTGGCAGTATAAGAAATGAGCTGGAATTGTTTTCAGGTCAATAAAGGAAAATCTTGCTAGTAAGGACGAATGCAGCCTGAGGGTCAGGGCAGCCTGGAAAAGTCCCTGGATTCCTGAATTGTCCCTGCTCTTCTAAACTGCCACCTTGTCTCCAGCACGGGATCAGAACCTGTCTGTACAGGCTCTAATCTTTCTAATAGTCACAGCCTTTGCCCCCAGAGTGAGGGGAGCCAGCAGGTGTGAGCACAGGTTGGTGTATGTAATCCAGGGACGACACACACAACAGAAATATGTCCTGCTGGAGTGTCCTTTGAGACACACCAGATCGCAGCCTCTGCTTACGGATGAAGAAGCTATTAATTACCTGCGACTCTAGATGATATTTTGTATTTACTCAGCATAAATGATTTCGTCGAATACTTACTCTTTTATCCTGCAGGTGGATAAAAGAAATGTTGCTTCTTGTCCTGCCAGAGAGCTGGCATCCTTCACAACCCAGTCTGCTCTCTCACAAGGATATCAGCTTCCTAATGAGGTTCTCCCCAGCTAATGCCCTGATTTGAGCCTCATCCTTTCAATTTCTGAAAGCAGCAGGTATTTGTTCCAGGGTAGGACAGGAGCCTGGAACTCATCCATCGCCCCTAAGGAAAAGCGGCCTATGATCTTCTAGACTGCATTTTCCTTCTCCCATCGCTGCACGCAGAGGTTCATTTTCCTAGATGTTAAGCCAGCTCTTGGGACCCTGCTCAGGAAGACAGCAAAGCCAGGGCTGCCTTCATCTTGCTGAAGATGGTGGGATGGTTACTGGAAGGTACTAGTTATTTCTTTCCCATTCTAAGCCTCCTGGGATTACCTTGCCAGTTAAAGCCGGTGCTCCCTGCATAATAAGATAGGAATGTTGTACAGAGGAGATGCTAATGGCAGCTAAATATAGATGCAAGCTTCTGGGTACACCACTTGCGTGCATGCCTGCACACCCATTAGAACAATTACGGGAAGGAAGCTTTCACGCTGCATAATTACAACCTTGACTCCTCTGGCTGGGGCCAGGCCTCTCCTTAGGTTAAACGGCATTCCTGGTCTGGCAGCTGGAAAGGCTCTGTCCTTTGTTACCTTTGGACTTGGTAGTGCCCAGGATTGTATGACATAATTCTGAGTCTATTTTCTCTCAGAATGCGTGAGGCTCAAAGGACAGACCTACCTGGGTGGAGATTGATAGGCCTCATGAATGAGTCACATTTCTTCCCTCCTCCATCCTTATTAGGGTGACATTCCAGTTGGCCACAGGCAGTCTCGGTTTATGCCTATTGACTCAAGGAAATTATTGGTAATGCCCCTTTCACTCTCAAAATGACCTGTTTGGGTGATAAATTTTAAGATTACAGATTTGTAATCTTCAAGGAGAAGGAGGGAGGCAAAGACTCTTCCTAGGCGTGGTCCCTCTGAGAGCCTGCCTGGGCAAGTGGGCTTTAGGCTGAAGAAAGAATGGGAAGAAGGAGCTTTTCCAAGCTCTTCTTCTTCTTCTTCTTCTTTTTTTTTGCTGAGGAAGATTAGCCCCAAGCTAACATCTGTTGCCAATCTTCCTCTTTTTTTGCTTGAGGAAGATTGACATCCGTGCTAATCTTCCTCCACTTTATATGTGGGTTGCCACCTCAGCACGGTGTAGGTCCATGTCTGGGATCCGAACCCGTGAACCTGGGCCACTGAAGTGGAATGCGCCAAACATAAGCACTAAGCCATGGGGCCAGCCCCTCCAAACTCTTCTAAAGAGCTGTCTGCGGCACCCATCCTCAATGACTCTGAGCAACACACACCCCCAGATGCTGGGGCACTGGGGGGCCAACCCAAGCCAGGTGGACCTGACGGTGGCATATTCAGTACTCCCCAAGTGGAAAAATCAAATTATTCCCAGAATCCAGTTGACCCTGGGGCTGACCAAGATGAAATGTTTCCCTTGCTGCTGGCCTCCAAGCCTTAGGCCTTTTGGTCATAGGTTCAAGAGGACGTCAGCGTCAGGCTTGTGCAGTGGTGCTGGCCATCTGTCAGGCCAGCACTGTTTTCTAGAGTCTTCTCACCGTGCTGGGCCTTTCGAGGCCCGTTGTAAAAGGCCAAATCATTCCGCCATTCTACACAGATCTCACCTAGAGCGATGAGAACGAAGAGGGAAGGACTGGACTGGACAAGAGTCTTAAGAGTCTCAAAGATCTGATGCCCCCAAGCTAACCCTTTTCCCCCCAACTCCGTTGTGACGAAGGACTTTCTAATCCCTCAGCCCTGCTGAATTTTCTTCCTGCAGAAGGCCAAGGCCAATAGTGTTCTTGAGCAATTTGTTGGTGACAGGCCAACTCCACGGGGAAAATTCTCAGCTAGGGCTTGATCTGCGAAGCTGCTCTATAATTCATCAGCTCTGTCTAAAAGCTGTAGAACTCATCGATCACCATTAGGCTGTCAAAACACTCATTCAGCTGGTGAGAATAGCTTATTAGAGCTTTTAAAAATACCAGTCTTTCGCAAAGATGTTGGTTGAGTTTCTGCATGCACCCAGAAAGTACCCTTGCATACAGATGACTTCAGCAGCATTTACTTCAAAGAAGAGGGAAAGACTGGAAACTGTTGGGTGGATGGCATTCAACAGACCCAGAGAGAACCAGTTATAGCAAATGAAAAGGATGCTTTAAGATTTAATTTTGTAAAGATGGGGTGCTGGCTTGGAATCACAGTCTAAAAATTCCTCCTACCCACAGCCCAGCCCCCACTTACATCCACAGCATTCCAAGAAGAGGGATGAATTCCAGTCAGCTACCGATTATCCTGCCAGGTGGCCCCTCCGAGGGATGGGAGGAGGTTCCGGAAAAGTCTGTGGAATTCCAAGATTGTTTGAAAATGCTCTTACTGATAAAAATGTCCCTTCGAATTCTGAACCCCAAACCCCGACTTCTAAGCAAATTTATGCCCGTGCTAGTTCTGAGAGTTGTAAAGCACAGTATGAAGACAGTGATAAAAATACAAGATTTTGGTTTTACTAAGACCCAAGAGCCAAGGGCTAAAAACCAGGTCCATCATGCTGCTGTCTTGCGGCCTCGCTGTCCCAGGAACACGTGCCCCTCTCCTGTCGCCCTCTCCAGAACTTAAACCTCTTCCCCTGGGACGTCTTTTTTCCATCTCTGCCCTCCGAAGTCCTGCCCCATCCCTCACGGCTCAGTTCCTCTGAGTAACACCCAGATGTAAGGTTAGAATGAATTCCTCCTTCCTCTGGGTTCCGGGTCGGTTTTGCTCATCCCTTTATTACTGCTCTCCTAAGATTCTGCCTTTTATAGCGATCCCTCAGGCACACCAATTTCCTGCAGTGGAGAGAGCCGGAAAAATGCATCTTACAGCCATGCGCATTTTTGTAGGGTTTAAAAATATGTAAGAGTCGAGACTTTTCAGCCCTTTCTTTTCATTTTCTTTACCACACAATGAACTGACTTCAAAACAGGCCTGATCAAGAGGATTTTAAATATAAGTGTTCTTGCTTTATTCTGCCAAGTGCTCTTAAGGTACTTGGAAAACGTCCCCCATGACCTCTCCCGGCACTGATTTCGTTCCTTTTCACTTAGGAAACAGTGATTTGTTTTTTGGGTTTGAAAGCGAGAGAACATGCTGTTTTGGTTGCAACAACTCACAGGGTAGTCCGAGCTGAAAATGGCCCTTTTCTTGGAGGTGAGCAGCCTCTGCAAAGGGCTGTGGCCACTTCGCCAAGAACAAGGGTCCGATGCCCAAAAGGGCCTGAAACAAGTGGAGTCATTGATGGAAACCCCTGGCCCAAACTTAGCTGCCAAACCAGAGGACTCGGAGCTCTGAACAAATCCCGCAGCTGCAGACGGGCCCTGCCGAGGTTCCCATGTGAACACCCAGATTCGCCTCTACTGGTTTATTTGTAACTGGTGGACAGGCAGATCCAGGAACAAGCTGGAAGGGGGCAGTTTTCTGGAGTGAATGAGTAAAATAAACGACTAATGGCAAAGCTAGAAAACTGCAATTAGGGACTGAGAAGACACCTGTTCCTGTGGTTTATGAGGTGTGAGCCTCTGGAAAATGCAGTGAGGGCTTAATGGTTTGAGTTGTTTGTGCCTGACTCTGGAACCGTGAGGTGGGGGTGGAGGGACGTGAGTGGCTCTTAGGATCTCTAGGATAATGTCATTTGTCACAGATATCCAGGTGGCCACACAGTGTTGTAAAAAAGATCTCGCTGAAGGTGGGGATGGCTTGCTCTCACTTGCATGTCCTTGCCACCCAGGGCGGCCTTTGCTGGTTTTATGTGCACCCACATTTAGTGGCCAGGGTCCATCTCCTGGGGCCAGAAGGCGTGCGCCCGAGAGTGTTTTAGGCCTGTGAGTAGGATAAGGGGTCGTGTTTATTATAGCAGAGTCAGGAGGCTATGGCACAAAGTGGAAATAAGACTTCATGGCTCATGTTTAACTCTCTGTTGCCCTCCACGGGAAGCACAAGGCCTTAAGGATTTTCACTTCTGGATCTTTGTCGGTCCCAAAGGCAGTGAGAACCTCAGCCCCAGAGGTATTTCAGGGGTGGGTGAGCAGAGGAACAAACTCACCTTGGCTGGTATTTCTTAACTTGTTCTTTATCGAGTCTCTTGCAGCAGATGAGGTTTTTTTTAAAAATTATTTTATTGAGATCATATTGGTTTATAACCTTGTGTAATTTCAGGTGTACATTATTACGTATCAGCTTCTGTATAGACTGCATCGTGCTCACCCCCAATAGTCTAGTTTTCACCCCTCACCATACACATGTGCCCCTTTACCCCTTTCGCCCTCCCCCATACTCCCTTCCCCTCTGGTAACCACTAATGTGTTCTCCTTATCCATGTGTTTATCTTCTACATATGAGTGAAATCACACGGTGTTTGTCTTTCTCTGTCTGGCTTATTTCGCTTAACATAATACCCTCAGGTTCCATCCATGTTGTTGCAAATGGGACAATTTTGTCCTTTTTTTTATGGCTGAGTAGTATTCCTGCGGGTGCATTTTTGGGTACATCCAGCCTGTCACCGGGCCTGTGGTTCTGCAGGCAGAGGCAGTGCTGGCCTCTCAGACGCTGGGAAGGGGACCTGGTACCTCCTGGGAAAAGGAATGCTAAGGCGTCACTGGCAAATTACCAATACCCTGTTCCCAAAATGTAACTCGTTTGTCTCACATATTTTGAAAATTTCACATATTTAAAATTAAAATAAAGCCTCCTTTTATTTCAAAATTTAAATTTGATCAAAATTTTAAGCAGAAAAGCTGTTTTTCTGGATAAAATTGTTCTGCATGCCTAGGAGAAAGAGATGAGTTGCCAAGGGCAGCGATATGCTCAAGGCTTTCGGGCTTTTCAATTCATCTTTCTGGATGTAAAGACTCAGGTGGACTAGCGGCTGCTCAGGACTGTCCTGGCCGCCCGACTGACTGACCCTGGGAAAGACACAATCCGTACAGACAGCTGAGACTTTTTCTGTTCATGAACTTTCTAACTGAAATCACACAGTGTCAACACAATATGTTTTAAGAGCACAAATTTCAGTGTGTTTTTACGTATGCAGACACCCAGTTACCAGCCCTGAGGATGAAGACAAGGACACATCCCCACAGCTCCCTTACCCCTCCCCCGCCCCCAAAGAACAGTTGGCGGACCTCTACCGCCACCGAATTCCTTGTGCCTGTTTGGGACTTTGCATAAACATAATCATACTGTAGGCAGAAACCTGTTTTTTCCCTCATTCATCAAAATATCCTAAGCACCTCTCCACTGGGCAGGTGTACCACATTTGTTTAATTGATTTCCACTTTTCGTGTCTGGTTGCTTCTGATTCTCGGCTAGTTTTCGAGCATTAAACATGAGACACACCAGGTTTCTTCCACCCGTGGAGGCAGTGGGTCCACCGCGCACCCTGCTTGCTGTCTCCTCACGTGTCGTCATCACCCAGGGCAAGCGGCAAAGACTGAACTCTGCAAGGCTCTCTGGTCGGAGACAGGACTGTCCCCCGCTGAGGCGATTGTTTTCGTGCAGTCCCACAACACAGGCCACTTCCTCTCCCAGCAAGCTGGTGACCGAGAAGGTATTTCCTCTCAGAGCGCCGTCAGCCTAACCGCTCCAGCGGACAAGCCACTGTCCAGAGCTTCCTGTTCTAAGACAGGAACTCTTCTCTGTGTCCCTTGGAAGACAAAGAACGTTCCTCAAGGAACACCAAGTAAACACATCCACACCTCTATTCCAGGCACAGGACAGGTTTAAAACCGAAGCAGTTTGCCTGCGGTCCGTCCCAACTATTGCGTTGTTTGCACGGATAGTACAGAACTGAGCAGCACAGACCAGCGTGTTCCAAGGAAAACGTTCGCAAGCTGACAAATTATGAGGAATTATGACGCCACTTTCAAAAAGTGTGCATGTTAGGATATTAGCATTTTAGGCATTTAGTTAATTAGTGGGTAACAGTCTGCTAAACCGTAGTGAAACCGGCGACTCTGATGACTGGAAATGAGTCGGTACCAAGTACTTGTGGATTATTTTG